TGGCTTAAGAAATTTGTTGCGTGATCTGTCATAACAAATTTACGGATGCCGTATTAGCAAAAGATATACGTTACAAATGTTTTGTACTTCCTGATTTTCTATGGAAACTGAAAATATGGATGAATCGTCTTATAAGGCTAGCAAATACTGTTTTGTACCGAAATAAACTTACTTGAGAATGAAGAACTTATCGAACTGAATGATAAACACTCACTTGAATTAAACTGAACTTTATTTTACTATTTGGAGTTAATTAATAACATTTGAGAAATAATACTAGAGAAGAACATTACGAACGAAGTTTAACACGGCTCAGTTTTACAATACAATGTTCATCTTTTTCTTTTTAACAAAACCCGAAAATTCTTGAACTTGTACACAAAAAAGAAACTCGTTTAGAGAGGGAACACAATACAAGAAAACTGAATATGAATTACAAAACATAAAAATAAAAATTAAACAAATCGGTTCTTTTAATAAAGATAGACTTAAAATTAACAAATACCTATAACAGTTATCAGCTAAGGAAAGGATAAGAAGAGGTGGTGTGATTCCCATTGGAATTTGAGTTCGCCTGGATACTTTGTTTTCTGGAAAAACTCACCTGACTTGATATGTTGCTTTATGTCATCTTATGCTAACGATGGTAAGATTTGATTCAGTTATAGGTAAGGGTTTTTACCATGATGTCCAAACGGAGTGACGTGAAACTCTTTTAAAATTTTATCTATATCACATCGTTCACATCATAATGTTAGTTTTGTTGAATATATATATATATATATATATACCTTAACATGGTTTGATATGCGTCTAACTTCAACCTTTGAGTAGTTATCTCTAGACTTGAGATCGTGAAAGCTTCAATAAAATTTTGCAAACAATGCTACTTTAAAGTTTAAAAGGCGCAAAAAACATTACAAAATTCTGGTTTATTGGTTGATAAGCGCATCATAAAGATGTAAGAAAGATATTGAATATCTTCATTAACCGTTTGGATTCCTGATAGAATAGAACTTTTGGTGGTTACATCTGATTTTAGCGAGCAAAATTTTGATATATTTGTTATTTCAGGATCTTCATTAGTATATGGACGATATTAATATTTACACAAAGATGACTTTCTATTTGATGAAGATACCTATTATATTCAGATATAGGCTTAACTTCGTTTATTATAACAATTCCAGATAAACCATCAGCATTTAAATTGGTTTTACCCGGTTTATAATGTATTTCGTACTTCTACTTATTAAGCTTAAGTCTAAACTTCATTGAAGGAGATGACAGATTTGACATTGAAAATAGATAGGCTAAAGGGCGATGATCATAACGATGATCGGAAATGCTGAGTAGCCCAGAGGATTGCAGAATACAGAGAACTCTCGTTGAATTGTGCAATAATTATGATCCGCCTTCCCCAAAGTCCTTATAGCATAAGCGGTAGGTAAATCTGCTCCAATTGGACCCTGAAATAAACCGGCGCCTATTACAAATTGACTGGGTTGTGGTGTAAGATATTCTCTAGAACAATCGGCAATTTCCTTCCTCAAGAAATTCCACTTACAACTATATCATCCAAGTAGACGAAACAGCTCACTCCTTGTAATCCGATGGCTCGATTAATATGGATTATATGGAGTTTTATTCGGCTCGATTACATTTTTATCCAACGTTTTCTGTATTTGATCTTAAACTTCAATTTTTGGGATTCTAGTAAGAGATAAGGTTTTAAGAATACTGGAAGAGTACTAAGAAGAGGAATAGTATGCTTCAGTATGAGATAGCTTGTCTCCCTTTAAATGAAATATATCATCGAATTTGGAACAGCATTTGATGATCATTATTGATTTCTGAAATTCTGGAATAAGTATTTTGGGTAACGAAAAATACGAAATGATACTAATAGATAATACATTAAGAGATAATCATCTGAAACAAGGTGGACTGGATATATTACAACGACTTTATGTTCTGATATAATACTTCCATCGCAAATATCTAATGAACACAATTACGTTTTAAATTTCATTTGATGGCTTTTTCATCTGCGTGATCTATTTAATTTGTTTATGTCTGATCTGATGCCGTATCAAGTAATAGAGTTGCTGACCCAGGATTCGGATAATTGTAAAGGAAGGTTTACATAATAGGATTTAGAATTTGAACCACCTACGGTATAAACATTTTAGATTTAGAAAATTCTAGGAGTCATTACGGAACACGGGCAATGGTGATTTAATAGATGTTGTACATGCGAGTGGAGAATAAAGATCCATACATCTTTCTGTTTTAGATGACGCAAAGGTGGTGTTATGTAGTAATTCACATCATTAGAAGACTCGGTTTGTTGTTGTAGCGTATTTTGAACATGCAACTGTGTACGTGATTTGCGTAGCCTTGTACTACTTCGGAAAGAAATTAATTTACACTAATTAATTCTGATTGCAGTTGAGCAGATACAGTATCATAACATGCCAAAAGTCTGTGTAACTGAATCTTGTTCCCATCAAATGTGAGTAAAATGTGGGGTCATTTTTAACGCAACTTGAATATATTCTCTGGATATCGAAATGGAGTGTCCAGAACGCGCACTTGGACTTCACTAACATTAAATTGGACGGAATTGAGTCTTGATTGGTTTATTAGTTTGAGTGTGAGGGACCTTTTTGAATTTTTGTTTTTGTTTGATCTGGAAAATGTACTAAAAGCTTAGTACATTGCTGCTGTATTCAGTTTCTGACCAGCCTTAATTGTTTGGTGATCACGGTAGTTTTGTTGCAAAATTTGACAAAAAATATCAATTTTGAACAGATGATACCCTGAAGGGGAATACACTTTATTTTTTCGGTAATCCGTACAGGTAGTTCTCGGTTTAAAATTAGTTCTAGTGGCACTGGTAGGTAGCGCTGGTTATCATAAGATATTACTATGTTGTATATCTTTATTGAACTAAAACTAGAACGAGAACTAAAAACATTCGGGTTTAGTCGTAAAAAAAACTTTCAGTTGTCAATGTTAACTTTAATTTTACTGTTATATTTGTAATCTTCATAAAATAACCTTTAAAGTTAGTCCAAACTTGACGCATTTATCTCAAAAAACCAAAAAGTTCAAACTTTCAGCTTTTAATTTTGACATACATATTTGTCAACTTCATAAAAAATCCTTTAAAATGAGTCCAAACTCGACATATTTAACGTTAATATTAATGGAAATACAATCACTTCCGGTTCGAAACATCAACGTCAATTTAGACATATTTGTCAAAAAACAAAAAAGTTTGAATAAAAAATATTAAACCTGAAGTTAGCAACAGTGAAGATAGCAATTTAATTTTTAAATATTAATACCAACCTTAATTTTTGATTTTTTTTATTATATTTCCGTTTTTGTGACAAATTTTAACACATTTTATAAAAATTAAGAATATGTCAAAATGACATTGACATTACAAACCGGAAGTAGCTTATATCTCGAGTAATATTAGAATAAAACGTATCATGTTTGCACTCATTTTAAAGGATCTTTCACGATGATTACAAATATAGCAAAATTGACGTTCACATTCTTAACCGGAAGTTGACCATAACTTCATTAATTTTGAAGATAAATATGTCGTGTTTATATTCATTTTAAAGGATTTTAATGAAGATTACAAATATGTCAAAATTGAGGTTGACATTTTAAACCTGAAGTTAGTTATCATATAATAGAAGTTAATTTAATGTTAGTCACTTTTCCGCACTTTCTTTTTATTTTTAACGTGTTTTTGGGTAATTTCACATTGATTAAAAAAAATCGTCGATTTTTAAGCCACATGATGATTCTTGAATTTCTCCCAAGCTTCTTAATATTTTTTTTGTTAAATTGTTAACTTTAAACTTTAATTTTTTAAATTAGTAACTAATAATCTGATTTCGACTTTGTTATGTGATCTTTTTTAACAAAACAAAAAGAAATATTAAGAATCTTGTTTGTAAAATGGATAAGATGAGAGATGTTAATCTATTTATAGTGTCTCTGAAGATAGCCAAGGGCCGAAACTGGTTAGACTTAAATTCTATATAAAATAAAAACCAGTTTCAAAGTACAAAATCAAACTTACACGAATCGTCATCATTTTGTCTCTAGTTTTAGTGATTAAATTTATGCCACGACTTACAGAAACACCCTGTGTGCCCTCTGTGTTTGTGATAGCTGTGATCAGTGTTCTGTGATAAAAATGGACAGGCACCAAACAATTTTCAATAGTTTGAGCCTGTCTATTCTGAGAAGTCTTATATTTTTAGGAAGATGAAAACGAAAATGCCGTTTTTCTCAGCATTATTCATTTGTCGCTTAGTCAAGTGATGCATAACGCGGTCCAATTATCAGAAAGAATGTATGATTTCTGACAATTGAGCTGCAACGTGGACTAATACCTATTGCGGCTTAGTATCAATTGTGGTGGGAAATCTTACTTTTTCATTATAATTAAGCCGATGTTTCTTTCGGCTAAGGCATATATGTGCTATATGTGTTGTCAATAATATCTTATTAACCATGTCGATCGAACGTACAGATCCAAACCATACGTTGAACTCAACTTGAAATTGGTAAACAAAACTATCCTTACCTAACATTCTTTCCCGGGATTATTGGCATTTTAAAAGAAAACTTACCCAACATTTTTTCCCGAGATGATTGGTATTTCTTAACAATACTAACTTAACCCAAAATTCTTTCTCGAGGTGATTAATATTTCTAAGCAAACCTTGATTGGGGATAATTGGGATGATTGGCATTTTAAGAGACCCAACCTTAACCAAGCATTATTTCCCGGGATGATTGGCATGTGCAAATATAACTAACCTTACAAGACAATCCTTAGCTGTAAACTAAGCCAACCTTACTCAACATGTGTTTTTATTGATTTCATATTAATTTTTTTTACATTACTAATAGTATACATTAGTAAACAAGGCGTTACAACAATTAAAAAATATTATTTGTTTCAGGTATCTAAAATGTCTAATTCATCTACATTCAATATTCTAGATTTAAACAATTACATATTACTAGAAATACTTGGATTTCTAAACGCAACTGATTTGTGGTTGTTAAGCAAGTAAGATATATTCTTAATATTTTTAATTTTATGTAACTTTGTATTTTCATTACCGGTTACGTTACTATAAGAACTTGTGGACGTTTAAACGATCTTATAGAAAAAGAATGTTTCTGGCGTTATATTGATGCACGCGACTCACCAAATACTGTTGAGAAAATTGAATATTGTGCGCAGAAATGTAATCAGGCTACAAGAGACGTTCGAATATGTGCTGATGGAAGACATCTTGTAATAATTTCAAGTACATTTTTTCGATATTTAAATCGTGCCAGTATTACAATTTTGGCTTTGGAAAATCAGAAAATATGTGGCAACGACGTAATTTTTAATGTCGATTAAATCACTTTGTTTAGTGCATTTAAATTTTGTTGCGTGTTTTAGATACAGCTGAAACACTTTCCCGAAAATCTAATGGAATTAAGTCTTAAGAAAACCTATATTACAGAAATAAACGAATTTTTAACATATTATGATCACCAATTGAAGAAGTTAAAAGTTAAGTATTTACTTGTATAAGAGTAATTAATATAGTAACTTATCTGTGTTATTTAGGTATTAATATTAGATCAGTGTTGTTGGATTACTAGTAANTATCATCCGCAGGCCCATATATGCATTTTTTATGTACCGGCTAATTTGAGTGCCATATCTAAAATCATTTGACAAAGAAAGACCCAAACTCTTAGCCTCCTCGACAATGGGGAGGGTACATCCATCTATGTTAATGTTTATTAGATTTTTCAACTCCGCACAGACACGCCGATTGCCGAACAGCACAACCGCAGATTTAGCTGGATTTAATTTCAACTGATGCATATTTGATGTTACCCACAGGGTTTGGAGGTCCAGATTGATTTTCTCTTGAGCAGCAATATATTCCTCAGGTTTGAAAGAATAATACAGCTGAGTATCAACGGCATACATATGAAACTTATTAAATTTAATGCCTTTAAAAATAAGTGAAGTGCCATTACGCCATTACTTATTTCAATTACGTTGAATAATTTCTTATTAACCATGTCGATCGAACGTACAGATCCAAACAATACGCTGAACTCAACTTGAAATTGGTAAACAAAACTATCCTTACCCAACATTCTTTCCCGGGATTATTGGCAATTTAAAAGAAAACTTACCCAACATTTTTTCCCGAGATGATTGGTATTTCTAAACAATACTAACTTAACCCAAAATTCTTTCCCGAGGTGATTAATATTTCTAAGCAAACCTTGATTGGGGATAATTGGGATGATTGGCATTTTAAGAGACCCAACCTTAACCAAGCATTATTTCCCGGGATGATTGGCATGTGCAAATATAACTAACCTTACAAGACAATCCTTAGCTGTAAACTAAGCCAACCTTACTCAACATGTGTTTTTATTGATTTCATATTAATTTTTTTTACATTACTAATAGTATACATTAGTAAACAAGGCGTTACAACAATTAAAAAATATTATTTGTTTCAGGTATCTAAAATGTCTAATTCATCTACATTCAATATTCTAGATTTAAACAATTACATATTACTAGAAATACTTGGATTTCTAAACGCAACTGATTTGTGGTTGTTAAGCAAGTAAGATATATTCTTAATATTTTTAATTTTATGTAACTTTGTATTTTCATTACCGGTTACGTTACTATAAGAACTTGTGGACGTTTAAACGATCTTATAGAAAAAGAATGTTTCTGGCGTTATATTGATGCACGCGACTCACCAAATACTGTTGAGAAAATTGAATATTGTGCGCAGAAATGTAATCAGGCTACAAGAGACGTTCGAATATGTGCTGATGGAAGACATCTTGTAATAATTTCAAGTACATTTTTTCGATATTTAAATCGTGCCAGTATTACAATTTTGGCTTTGGAAAATCAGAAAATATGTGGCAACGACGTAATTTTTAATGTCGATTAAATCACTTTGTTTAGTGCATTTAAATTTTGTTGCGTGTTTTAGATACAGCTGAAACATTTTCCCGAAAATCTAATGGAATTAAGTCTTAAGAAAACCTATATTACAGAAATAAACGAATTTTTAACATATTATGATCACCAATTGAAGAAGTTAAAAGTTAAGTATTTACTTGTATAAGAGTAATTAATATAGTAACTTATCTGTGTTATTTAGGTATTAATATTAGATCAGTGTTGTTGGATTACTAGTAATATATTGACAAATACAATTGCGTGTATTTACTCGTTAGAAATTCTATCTCTATACAAATGTAAAGCACTTAACGAAGTAGACATGTCTATAATAAAAGGTTTCCACGAATTACGAATTATGGACTGTCGATTCTCTAGTTTAGGGAATATGTTTTTGAAAAATTTATCAAAGAAGCCTAAAATTAGAGAAATTTATTTCCAACACTATCTCACCACATATTTTCCTGAAAAACATCGTCGTGAACTAGAAATATCATCTGGATCGAGAAGGTTAAAACATTCCTACATTAAGGACCATGACGACATTCCTCTTTGGAATGAAAACGTCTTACGTTCTTATTTTGGAAGTAACGTGAATACTAATGAAATGTATAACCATTGTAATAGTCTTTCTGATAGAAGTACGGAACGTTATACACATTCCAACTATATTGAAGATAATTATCATTTTGAGAGTGTACTGTACAAGAGACCGTATAATGAATGTACCTGTGAATATAATTCAACGACTGGACTTGCAGTTGCCAATGTAAAATCTGAAATCAACCATGACGATAGAATGGATCAATATGTTTGTAAAGATGATATTTTGTATACACTCGATCCAGCATGTTTTACACATGAATTAGAAAATGCTAATAAAAGTGAAAAAGATATCGCTATAGAAGAACTTATAGATCGTAAGTATAATAATCATTATAATGTTTATTTTTAATAGAATAGATCCCTTTAAACTGGATATCTCAAAAACAATGGTTTTGAAGATATCACACTAGAAATGTTGAGAAAATTATAAGGTTTTTAAAAGTATTGTAATCCAGCTAGTATTCTCACTTAATTGACTTGTAGGCGAACAACACGTTGTTAATATTTAACTTGTTGGAGGTTTAGTGTTACTTTGTGAAATGAGAAAAAATATTTATAATTAATTCTAAAGTCTTAAACCATAATCTTTTTTAACCCATTGACAAATTTTGACAATTGATTGTAGTAAAATAGTTAATAATAATTTATTGTTTCCCATAAGTTATAATTTAAAAACTACAATATCAATAGCTAATGTAATTCATATCCCTTTCCATGGCCTCTACCTGTCTCCTCGCTACCACCACCTCCCCCATTCGCCATATTTTAGATTATACCTACTTTCCCTTACCTCCGCGTCCCTCTCTTTTGCATTTCCACATCCCTGTTCCTGATCTCCAGTTGTTTCCACATCTCAATCCCCTCCTTTCTTATTCTTCCATTTCTCGCTGCCCATAACGATCCTTTCCTGCCTCAATCTCTCTGCAGCACTTCGCCAAGATTTTACAATGCACCCTTCCTTCCACTCCTCAAAACGCACCCCACGGTTACCCACCTCCACATTCATCTTATCTACCTTCATTTCTTCTCTAACTATATATTCCGGTGTCTTCCTAGCCAACCCGAACACCCACCTCTAGTACCTGGTTTGCACATCCTCTAAGTGCCCTTGCTCCTTCCATCTCTATAATTCCACCTCATACATCATAACGCTTTTTATCAAGTTAACAAACATTATTTTCCCATTTCCCACATCTTTCTCTGTCCTATAATCTTATTCGCTGCCAACATTTTAATATGTCCGCTTTCCTTGTTGTTCTCTTTAAATCTGTACCCCAAGTATGTGTACTCCCTCACTTCCTCGGTCACCCTCTCCTTCCATCTCCAGTCGTCAGTCTTCCTTCGACCCCCTTTATAGAACTTCATCAGTTTCGTTTTGTCTTCGTTGTCTACAAATCCTTCCCCCTAAAATACCTTTCCAGAGATCGCATCATTGTCCTCATCTCATCCACCTCCTTCGCGGTCACTACTAAGTCGTCGGCATACGCCAGTACTTGCACCTTCCTCGTTTCGATCAAAATAAACCAAAAAAGTACAATCTATATTGATTTAACATTAATAAATCGGGTATTATTCAAACACCAAAAAGTATACTCTCTGATCAGTTCGAGTGTAGGTATCACCATATTCTAGAAATGATGCAAAAATATCAAAATGGATGGTATACGTTAAAAAATATTACATAACACAAAAAATTATTCATAACAGCACGATTGTCGAATAGGAGATTCTGACTGAGAAGAAGACAAGTAATAGAAGTATTAACACAGCTTAAAAGACAAACAGAAATTCGTATATAATTATATAGAATTGTTTTACAAAAATGTTTAAGCTATGCTTCAGTTATATATATTCAAAGAATCCTTAATTTTTGAGATAGATATTTACTGCTGTAGCTAACATAATGTATAATAACCTCTTTTTTATATTTGATACATGAAGTTATTTTCGTTCACCTCATAGGGGGTCGATACGTACAAGTATGAAAAGATATTTCAATTGTAAGATATTTCAATTCGATGATACATTTATACTTCAATAATACATTTGTATGCTCGCAGTGTTACGATATAGCGAGAGAGAAAGGCAATGGGAACATTATTGTGAATATTTTAGTAAATGCAATGATGTGAGTTTATTAACAATCTCGCTTAGAGGATGTAATAGAATAACCGATGCAACATTAGAACATTTAACCCATTTACATTTATTATTGCTGGACGTAACAGGAACCAATGTAACTACTGAAGGTCTTATTAAATTTGGTATTAACTAAAAATTAAATATTAAAATTTGAACTCGTTCACCTTTTATGACAATTTATCATGGACGACAATGGACGACAATCAGCAGCATGTCGTCCAGTAGGTAATCATTATTGGAAATTTTTGCATTAGAGATTTTGTAACTGCAAATATTTGAATAGAATACCCATTGGATTTGCTGCCATTTGAGTTCCTTGGAGAGCCAATATTGTGTATTAGACATCCATTAGACCTTCGTAAAGATTCGTTGTAACTGGAGATCTTGTCACAGACTATTCTGGCATGGGTCATCCTTATCTCAATGGAGAACTATTGTTGTGCATATTATCATTGGAATTTCATTCAACAATCTCCATGGAAAATACATTGGAGTTACTAACACAAAACATTCATTGGAAATAGTAGTATTGGACATCCATTGTAAATACTGTAATTTCAGGTCCACTAGAATACAATTATTGAAAATTTAAGTACGAAGGCTTTCACGGCCGGTGTGAAAGTTTCTAGTGTTAGTTCTAGTTTTAGTTCTAATTTTAGTTTAATATTGAAAATTTGTTCGAAATCTGATGGGGATACTATCGTTTGAGATACTGCGATTAAAGATCTATTGGAGTACCTTTATTGGAAATTTAAACTAGATCTTGTAATTGGACAAATTCCCAGTGGAAATACTAAAATAGCAAATCCAATGGAGAAGCTGCCATTGGAAATTATTTCTCAATAATCAAAAACTTGGTTCCTCCTTCAACGCTTTCAACCTCAGGTTAACCTATATATATTCAACCTATAGGTTAAATGCCAAGGCTATAGCCATAAACAAGTTGGAGGTAGATGGGCCAGTTTCCGTTTTCTTTACGTTAATTAATATGGCACCCAACACAATTATGCCTATATCGTATAATTCATCCTTTCTGAAAAAAGAAACAGCTTTGAAATCTGTTCAATCATTTTTGCAATAATATATTTATATCAGAACAATTGTATTTTGACGTAAATAAGTAAAGCGAAGTTCTCCAATTACAAAGTCAGCCATATTAAGATATCTAGTAGAAGCATTAACACAGCTTAAAATACAACAGAAATACGTGTATAAATGTACAGAATTGTTTTACAAAAATGTTTAAACAATGGTTTAGTTATACATTTAAAGAAAGCTTAATTTTTGAGATATTTACTGTTGTACGTAACATCATGTATCATACTCTCACTTTTATGTTTTATGCAGCAAGTTATTGTAGACGTACACGACGCAGGGTTCAAGCTTGGTGTGGATACGCAAGTATGGAATATAAGATATTTTGATTGGTATATTTGTACTTCAATGTTACATTTGTATACTTACAGAAGTGAGGAAACATATGGCAACAAGTATACGCGAAGATGAATATTTTAGTAACTACAATAATGTGAGTTTAACAAAAATTTCGCTTAGAGGATGTAATAGTATAACCGATGCAACATTACAACATTTAACCCATTTACATTTATTGTTGCTGGACGTAACAGGAACCAATGTAACTACTGAAGGTCTTATCAAATTTGCTATTGACAATGTTCAGTGCAGGATTATACACGAAACTATGTGCACATGCCTACCAACCCTTCATTTTTAAAAATAAAAAATAATGTTATAATTAATTGCATATTTTATAATAATTTTGTTAATAAAAAAATAAAAGTAATTAGCAGCATAATAACAAGTATTAGAGTTAGATAAAAGATTTATTAAACAATCTTGTAAAAACTGAATATCCTAATAAAGTATAAATACTAAATTTGAACTCGTTCATTTTTTATGACATTTCATCATCGTTTCTAGGTTTTCTATTGCGATAGTTATCTAGTTTATCACTTTCTGAATGGTGAAATTTTCCTCGTTGTCACGAAGAAGCTCTATATTTATGTAGACATCTATTGTTACATCGCTAATTATTGGTTTGGCGATTGCTTTACTAACTAAATTTAGGAAAAAGTTCGAACTTGTTTCTAAAAAAGTAACCTAGTATATTAGTAGCGTTCTTGACGCTACTTATAATTTGGTTCATAACGATATTAAAGAGTGTAGGGCTCAGGCTATCCCCCAGTCTAATGCCGGTTTATACTCCGTCATTCCATCCCGGGTTTTGATTCTTGGTCTGTTTTCTGTATTCAGTTCCTTTATTATGTCTGTTAATCTCTTGTCGTACTATTAATACATCAGAAAGCTGTATTCTATCGAATGCTTGGTTGAAATCGACGAAGCAGAGGTAGAGGGGCTTATTGAACTCTATGGAATTACTCTGTTTATTGACGTACCATGGATATTGCATCTATAGTGGATCTGTTGGATCGAAATTCTTGCTGTTCTGCACTTATTCTTGTTTGTGTTATTTTCTGGGCTATAATCTTTGTGAACAAATTTAGAATATTACTCAAAAGGCTTATTCCTCCATAGTTTCTTGGGTCTTTTTCTGCCCTTCTTTGAATATAGGTATCATTATACACGTCCTCCACTGGTTTAGTATATTTTCGGCCTCTACCTATATCTTACTATTTCTTTTGTAAGTTATGGGCCACGTCATTCAATCATCTTGTTTGCCACTTCGTAAGCGCATGTGGTGATTATATCGTCTTGAATAATATCTATTTCCATTTCAGTATTGTCTTGATAATTCATGATTTCCGTTATTTCCTGATTTCCTAACAATTTGAAACTGGTCTGCCCAGTCCTCTTTAGAAATTATGTTTGTTTGATTATGTTGAGTGAGTGAGATTTTTCCATTTAGGATGCCGAGTTATCTTCTTAAGAAACAAATTTAACACTAAAATAGATGTGAAAACCTTAAATTGTTCTCAAGATATTTAAGATTATTCAATAAATTGCGTAATATTAAAGCATTGTAGTCAAAAAAGTATAATGCTTTAACATTTATGATACGTATCTACTAAGGAAATGTCACCGCTTAAAATAAGGCGACATCTTATAAATTCGCATATATATTCTTTACTTAAACGACACTAAAATAAAACAACGAAAAATTTATGCGTGAACGACCATTGAAAGACACATCTTGAAGGCACATCTTGAAGACATCGCGTAGCAATTAAGGATGTAATTAAAGGACCGAAGACCGAAGTGTTATAAAAACCACACCGTTAAAGAAAAAAAACTGATTACGCATGGATTTCGTCTTCTTTCGACTGCTTCGACGGCAATAACAAAATTGCGGTAACTTTAAAAGTCCTTTCGCGTCCATTAACGAAGATTATGGATAAATAAGTTTAATTAAAATGCGGAAATCATAATAATTTCGTTTCCTTGATTAATTAATTTGTAAGCAAATAAGCTAGGGTGTTAGAGTAAATATACATTATTAAAAAATAAATAATTATCATTATAATAATCTTATCAATTTTTTAATATTCGAGTGTATTTTGTTATCTTGACTAAAAATTCTCTATATAAATATAGATATCTGCGAATAACGATTATTTATTAATTATAATCTTTTACATTATATAAAATGTCTAGTAATATATCCACAATGAATATTTTGAATTTAAACGATTATACATTATTGGATATATTTCGATATTTAAATTCAACTGATTTATGGTTATTAAGCATGTAAGTAATTATTTTAAATCTTAATTATTTATGCAATATATCTTTCTATTTTCGCCAAAGGACTTGCCAGCAACTTCATAATTTTATTAAAACTAAACAAATATGGAACCAAATTGAAATAGATAACAAAATTGTGTTTAGTATAGAAAAAATAATAAGTTCTACCAAAGATGTACGAATATGTGCTGATGGAAGACATTCTAACATCATTCCTAATTATTTTTTCGAAAAATTCTCTACTTTAAACTTAACAGTTTTAGCCTTGGAAAACCAGAAAATCTATGGAAGCCAAGTATTTGTGTATAGAAATTTTATATTTTTAATGTTAACTTTTATTTTTTAGATCAAACTAAAAGATTTTCCCCAAAGTTTAATAGAATTGAGTTGGAAAAAGACATATATTGCAGATACGTCTGAATTTTCAAAACATAATCCTGACATATTTAAAAATTTAAAAGTACTTTTACAATTTGAACTCACAATCAGTGTTTAGTATTATATTTATATATTTTTAGGTGTTAATATTAGATCAGTGTTGTTGGGTTAACGGAAAAATTTTACACAGATTCGGAGATTTAAAATCCTTAGAAATTATATCATTGTACAAATGTAAAGGATTGTACGATGTTGAATTGGGAATGATACAGACCTTTAATCAGTTACGAATTGCGGATTGTCGATTTTCTGGCCTAGGAAACTTCTTTTTACAAAGCCTTGCTAGAAAACCAAAAGTCCAAGAAATTTATTTTCAAAACTACCTCACTACATATTTTGTGGAAAAGAACGCACGCGACATGGAAATTAAAAATAGTAAATCCAAAAATTTTAAATATTCTTATATAACCGAAAATGACGATATCCCTTTATGGAATGAAACCGCTTTACATAAATTTGTTGGATCTACTTCTACAACAGAAAAAGTTCCGTATGGACATCTAACCGAAACTAGTACAGAGTTATACGCCACCGCTAATCCAATTGATGAAAATTATAATTTCCACAGCCTTTTATATCAGCGACCTTATGAAAAATGCACTTGCCAAAATAATCCTGATTTAGTAACAACACCTCCTTTTAACGAACAAAAATTAATTGTGTCTGATCAAGACATTGAAAAAATGACTTGTAATGGGGGATATATTTGCACTCTTAAGCAAGCTAATAACACGGAAATAAGTGAATTTAATCAAAGTGAAAAAGACATCGCTATACTAGAACATACCTCACCTTGTATGTTACTGTTAAATTAATTTTTATATAAAAGATTTAAATCGAATACTGTTTTAGCTTGGATTAAGCTTCCTAGACTATGGTTCAGGATGATAAGGCCTGGAGGACTCCTACCTACTTATCATAGAGAAGGACTATGTAAAGGTAACAAAATTTTCTTTAATTGAAAATTACTACTTAACACATTCGCTGACTTCATCATCTCAATGAGGTAGTATTATAATTACTACTTCTATGGTGATGTGGAACAATAGTAGTGCAACTTTTGTGTTGGTCCTATGGGACCCTCGTGGCAGCGAATGTGTTAACCCTTTTCATAGATCGGTTCCATTAAATACATCTTATAATTAAAATTTATACATGGAATTTACAATTATAAATCATTTCTCATTATTTTGACTTTTAGATTACTACGAGCCTTGTAGAGTATATCGATGTGGACGTGCAGGTATACAATATAGTTTTTGCGCAACCGGATTTCAACTTTTTCGAAACTACAGTCTTTATTTTTCAGGTTGGGATGATATGCGTTATTTAAAAAAACAAAACGATGTGAGTTTAAAAAAGTTGTCACTTAGAGGTTGTGATGGTGTGACCAATAAAACATTGGAGTTCTTAAAGCATTTAAATTTATTGTTGCTTGATATTACTGGTACTAAAGTAACTGAGGAAGGGATTCAAAACTTTGCCTTGGAAAATGTTGACTGTAGAATAATACATGAGACTATGTGCAGATGTCGACCTAAATTGCATTTTTGAAAACAGTGTAAATAAAGATAATAAAATACCATACCTAAGTATGGTGCTAAGCTACTAGCTTTTACTGCCGGAGTGTGGGAAAGTAGTAGTTTTAGTCTGGATGTTTATGAATGTACTAAGTAGGGTTGCCTTACCTTATCTCCATTTTAATAAAAAAGTTGAAAAATAATAAATCTGATTTTGAAGATTTCGAAATATTCAGATAAGCTAGGTCAGAATAAGAAATGGCTCATATTTCTCTGGACACAGTTAATTAGAGAAAAGCAATACACCACATTTATCCACATTTAGCGAATAATTACTTGTAGAGGAGATAAAAAGTAAAATCATTTCTAAGAACATAGTAAACGGTATTTTATTCCGATAGAGCTAAGGAAAGTACAACGGGGATTTTGTGAAAAACGTAATAAGCAACCAATGACCTTCATCGATTTGGGATATAATCTGTATCTTATCACTTACTCATGCTTTATGATTATATTTGGTTATATTCGGTTATATTTGTATCTACTGTACCTAATACCTGTAAGGATAATCAAAAAGATTTGATATTCGCTGTTTAAAATGGCTTTTAATTCAATCGAATTGAATATTTTGGATTTGATAATCGTTCAAATCCAAAATACACTATTAAATATCTTTCGATATTTAAACTTTACTGATATATGGTTAGTAAGCAAGTAAGTTTTTTTTATTATTTTATTGCAACATATTATAACTTTTCTTTTTTTTAACGTAAGAACTTGTCAACGACTACACGATTTCGTTGAAACTAAATGTTTGTGGTATGAAATTGATGTTAGGGGTGTTTCCAATATCAGTGAAAAAATCGATTTTTGCATTGAAAAAATTACCGATACCACCAAAGATTTTAGAATAAGTGCGGATGGGAGACACATTAAAATAATTCCGGATCATTTTTTCTTAAATATATCCACTTTAAAGTTAACGGTTTTAGCTTTGGAAAATCAGAAAATTTCTGGAAACATGGTATTTTCTTATATTTTTGTATATTTTACATTTATTTTTTTGAGGTTTCTTTTTATTTGTTAGATGAAATTCAAAGATTTTCCTGACACTTTAATAGAATTGAGTTTGAAAAAAACATATGTAACAAATACGGCAGAGATGCAGAAATATTACCCTGATCAATTAAAAAATTTAAAAGTATTATGGTTTGATTAATGGCTTATTAACATTTTTCATTTACTCAACTACTTTTAGGTGCTAATATTGGATCAATGTTTCTGGGTTAACCGATATATATTGTACAGATTAGAATGTCTAAAATCCCTAGAAATTTTATCACTGTATAAGTGTAAAGGATTATATGATGTTGAATTAGACATAATGAAAGACTTCCATTCATTACGAATTGTGGATTGTCGATTTTCTGGTCTTGGAAATATGTTTTTAAAGTGCCTTAGCAAAATGCCGAAAATACAAGAAATTTATTTCCAAGATTATCTTACTACATATTTCTTGGAAAAGGGTGCACGTGAACTAGAAGTAGCTGACGGTTCCCAAAAATTAAAAAATAGTTATGTTTGCGATCTTGACGATATCGCCCTTTGGAATGAAGATATTTTACGTAGCTTTGGTGGGCCTATTTCTACAATTGAGAAAATACCGTATGGACATCTTTCAGAAAGTAGTATAACATTGTATTCTTCGGCCAAACCAATTCGAGAAAATTATACCTTCCAAAGCGTTTTATACCAGAGACCTTACAATGAATGTAGTTGTCAAAACAATCGTAACCTAACTGCTAAGATTCCTTCAAATATAAAAACATTAACTGTTACTGATGAAGATATGGAACGAAAAGTTTGTAAGGGAGGTTATATTTACACTCTTAAACCTACCGATACGTGTAACGTGATGGAAACAAGTAAATCTAATTCTGCTGATAATATTTTACAACATCTAAACCAAAATGAAAAAGATATCGTTGTTTTGGATCATAAATCACATCGTTTGTTATTGTTAAATAATTTTTGTTTTAAAAAAAATAAAGGAGAGCATTTTTTCAGGTACGCTTCAATCCCCGGAATATTACTATAGGATGGCAGTAAGAAACGGTGTGTTATATCTTCATCTTGGTTTATTGTCATCATTAGCACTTAAACCTTTTTTATTTTATGATTTTTAGAGTATGAAGAACCTTATAGCGTATTTAGATGTGGAAATGCAGGTATTTATATGTTTTGTATGTATGGATAATCTAACGTTATTTAACTAGAACTAGTAGCCAGTTGCAAAATGTTTGAAAGTTGATAACGTTTTCTTATAACTTTTCTTTATATATTATATACCCTTTATTTCTTGCATGAATTGATTAGTATCCTTATTGATAATGCAATTGCCTCAATAATATCTAATTACTCTGTGATTAGTAACTTCTGGAGAGTTGATGGTTCAGAAGTTACTACGACTTCATTATTGACACAGTCGTCAATGAATTTAACAAATCAATTGGAAAGAAATTGATTACCTTTGTCAAAATTTTCGGCAATCCTGATTACATTATGGCGTTAAATCCTCTAGATACAGATGTTCCTTCCGCAATCAACAACAACTGAATAGATGAAGTAAATCGAACAGATATTTTATCAACTCAACCAAGTTACTTATGTCAATTATTGGATTCGGCATCTATTGCGCAAAAGAATGAACAGCTTAACATCATATCAAAGTAATATATGTATATTAATGTCAACAGCTACGGCAATAAAATCGTCTAGTTTGCAATTGATAAGAAAACAATGTTGACCCAGCATCATTAGCAGAAATTAAAATCAAAACCGACCTAGAAGTTAAGTACTTACAGAAACAATAAAAAATGGCTCATAAACACTTGACGTCGTGCCTGAAGAAGGAAACTGTCGGTTTCTGAAACAATTTGTAGCACCGATATGTAAATAGAATCAAACATTTTCATCGTATTTAAGATTTTTATTTACATTATGAAACTTCCGATGAACCTGGATTCTACCATTGCTAAAATAAAAAATGGAATTGACAAAAAGCTAACAACTACATAACCTTATATGCAAAATCCGCCGTAATTTAACACTAGGAGACCCGAATAACTATATAATATAGAAATCAATTACCGTCTTGACGACAATATCTAATATCTGTGAAGTTGCAAGAAAGAGTAAAACCCTATAACATATAGTTGAACAAAATATAGCCAATACCAACGTGATTACAAACCAGATAAGAAGTCAGTCACCAAATATATTAAAAGAAAGTGATAACTTACAGTGTAAATGAAAATACACAGCTACTAATTGTATCATATCTTTAATATAAATAGCAGCAAGTAGACTGAAAGACGAAGAAGCTCAATTAAAAACATACTAACAAATTCAAGATGCTTATATGAAGACGACAATTATTTTATTAGCATAAAACTTGGTATAGCTGCACAAAACAAACAAAACGATCGTTAAAGCAAGAAAATGATTCGACGTAAACTGGTCAAACGGAAATAAAATAAAAACCTTTTACATAAAACACAAGAAAAATAATACATCAGCATATAAACATTCTGGGGGTTGTACTTTTAGATACGAAATTTAGTTAGCAAAGTATTTTTTATATTGGCTTCTGTTCGACATCTTATTATCTTGGTATCTTCACTTCTCATTCCGTTTCCATATTTTCTTTTTTCATTCTGCTTATCTTTGCTTTTAGCTTTTTCTCGAAGCAATGATTCAACAATTTGTCCAATATCTATCATTGTAATACATAGTACATTAATCATATTAAATCAATATTTCTTAATCAGTAGTTAATTACCATATATTTCTAACTTGTTATTAATCATAATGAATTATTTTTAGGAAAGTATGAACGAAAGTATTTTCGACAATACAACGATGTCAGTTTACAAAAGTTGTCCCTAAGAGGATGTTACGGAGTGACTGATAAAGTATTGGACCACCTGAAACATTTAAATTTATCCTTGTTGGATGTTACTAGTACCAGAGTAACAGCTGAAGGAGTTCAAAATTTTATGTTGGAGAATGTTGATTGTAGAGTTATTCATGAAACTATGTGTACATGTAAACCAAAAATGCACTTTTAGCACTGTAACTATAATTACAGGATTTGAATAAATCTTA